CCCGGCAGCTGCTTTTCGATTCGTAGCTACAGCATCGGGCTCTCGCTCGTCCCTACTCCGCCACCATGTCGTCCGCACCTACGCACATCCTCTTCGAGTGCGCCACGGGATGCGCCGTCTTCGAGGTGGCCGCCGTCGAGGAGATCGGCTCGCTCTCCCGCGCCGTGCAGGAGAGCGTGAATGAGGTCAACACGTTTGGCAAGATGGTCAAGCTCCTCTCCTTCTCGCCCTTCAAGAATGCGCTCGATGCACTGCAGGCGTCGCTCGACATCTCCGAGGGCGTGCTGAACGACTACCTCAAGTCACTCCTCACGCTCAACCTCGCCGCCGCCAAGAAGAAGAGCGTGGTGCTCGGCGTCCAGGACCGCAACCTTGCCACCTCGATCGTCGGCGAGCTCGGCATCCCCTGCGACACGGGCGACACCGCGCTCGAACTCATCCGCGGCGTGCGCCAGCACGCAGAGAAGCTGCTCAAGGGCATGGCCGACGGCGACCTCGCAAAGGCACAGCTCGGCCTCGGTCACAGCTACTCGCGCTCCAAGGTCAAGTTCAACGTCAACCGCTCCGACAACATGATCATCCAGGCCATCGCCCTGCTCGACACGCTCGACAAGGACGTCAACACCTTCGCCATGCGCGTCCGAGAGTGGTACGGCTGGCACTTCCCCGAGCTCGTCAAGCTCACCTCGGACAACCTCACCTACGCCAAGCTGGCGCGCTTCATCCGCAACAAGGAGCGTCTGTCCGAGGACGACGTCGAGGAGATGACCGACATCCTTGCCGGCGACGAGACCGCCGCCAAGAACATCCTCGACGCCGCACGCGCTTCCATGGGCCAGGAGATCGGCGAACTCGACATGCACAACATCCTCAACTTTGCCGAGCGCGTCATCGACCTCGGCGAGTACCGCAAGAACATGCACAAGTACCTCATAGAAAAGATGCACCTCGTCGCACCCAACCTCTCGGCGCTGCTGGGCGAGATCATCGGCGCGCGACTCATCTCGCACGCCGGCTCGCTCACCAACCTCGCCAAGTACCCGGCCTCGACGGTGCAGATCCTCGGCGCTGAAAAGGCGCTCTTCCGCGCCCTCAAGACCAAGGGCAACACGCCCAAGTATGGTCTGATCTACCACGCTTCGGCCATCGCACGTGCGGCGCCCAAGAACAAGGGCCGCATGTCGCGCTTCCTCGCCAACAAGATCTCCATCGCCTCGAGGATCGACTGCTTCTCCGACAAGCCCACCACCAAGTTCGGCGAGGTGCTCGCCGTGCAGGTCGAAGAGCGCCTGGCGTTCTACGAGACGGGCAAGGCCCCGAGCAAGAACGCGGATGCCATGAGCAAGGCGATCAAGGCGATCGAGGAGGCTGCCGGTGACCTGATGGACGAGGACGCCGATGACAGCGACGACGAAGACGCCCAGATGCCCGCCGCCGTCGGCGTCACAGATCCTGCCGATGCAAAGAAGAGCAAGGACAAGGACGCAAAGAAGGACAAGAAGTCCAAGTCCAAGTCGTCCGACAAGGACAAGAAGAAGGACGTCGAAAAGGCAGCCAAGAAGGCCGCCAAGGAGGCCAAGAAGGACAAGAAGGAGAAGAAGGAGAAGAAAGACAAGAAGAAGTGATTTCCTCCGGTTCTCCTTCTGTTTCTTTACTGCACTTTTCTTTCTTTCGCTGTTCATAGCCTATTGGTCCCTGCACTCTCTGTACTCTAGTTCTTGTCTCTTTCATACAACCGCCTTCCGCTGCAGCACGGCATGGTATGGAGGTGTGAGTGGCGAGAAGCTTGTGCGTTGTTTTACCGGCCGAGTGGTGTCCCACCGCCACAACACAAAATGTGGAGTGAGAGGGGCCTAGAAATGCAACGACCGTGCGCCGACATCCCCACCTTGTCACCATCTCTCGCTGCCCCTATCCTAACGACCAACAACCTCTGTCATCCTTCCTGCTGAGGCGATCAGGCTCGAGTAGGCGTCACGATGATTGCGAATCTGCCCGCTGGCGAAAAGCAGGCGTTCTTTAGCTTGCTGGACGAGTACTTTGCGTCCAGGCCGCACCGGTTGCCTGCCTCGACTCCAGCATCGCAGGGGGGCTTGACCGACCGCGCTACGGCAGCAGCAGGCAATGCAGCCGGCGCAGCTGCCAGCGCTGCGGTCTCCAATGCGCTGCGTGACCAGTTCGCCCGGACAGGGTTGACCAAAGGCCCACCACCTCCGGCTCCATCAGCAAACAAGAAGCCCGGATTCAACGTCCCCGCCGGTCTTGTGAGCGGAAAGGTAAGCCACCCCTCTTGCCTGCAGTACTATACAAGTCATGCTGACTTACACTCGTTGATGCGCGGTGAAAGACATTGGGATCGCTTAATTTAGGCTCGAGGACAACGTCCAGTACACAGGTTCCTGTAGCAGCACCGGCATCAGCACCAGCAGCAAGGTCGCTTCCACCACCAACACGAACAGGATCAAGCGTTCCTGCACCACCATCCGCCGCACCTGCTGCATCCGCTGCACCGGTCATGCCTCCAGGTGCAATTGGTTCGGCCACAGTGCTCTACGAGTAAGCTTTTCAACTTCCATCCTGCGCTCGTCTGCACACGTACTGACAATTTCGACAACAGCTATGGAGATGGAACGGATGCCGACGACTTGCAGGCGACAGAGAGCGAGACGGTCTGGTTGACCGAAAAGATCTCGGACGATTGGTGGCGCGCCATGTCGCAAGATGGTGCTAGACAAGGTATCATCCCCACTGCTTATGTGCGTCAGCTCTAGCCGAAATCCTCCTCGCAGCCGAGTCGCAATGGTCAAACACACTTGAGGTCGAGCAGATCTCACCCTAGTCGGATCGTGTCGGGTTCTTCTCGCTTTCGGTGCTCGTAGCCCTCAAGCCCTCGCTTTGCGCCAAGAGGGCGCAAGCCGTGGCCTGGGTAAACATGGTCAACCCCTTTACAACATTTTGTGCTTGACGCGTAGCATAGGACGGCTCAACATCGAAGCGCGATGCGCGGCGGGAGCTCAGCATGGTCGCACGCTCCAGCACTTGATGCCGTCGAGCACACTGCGTGCGTGCCCAGCATCTCAGTGCTTATTTCGCAGCATCGTCAAAGCCAGAGTTTGCTTGCGCTGCTCCTCCGATCGGGTCGGTTGCTCTGATTTGGCTCGCCGCAACAATGTCGCACGACGGCCTTGACTTAGCGCTGCGTGTGCTTCAGGCAAGCCTCTGCCGCAGCTGTCTTGATCGTCGACATACACCCAACTCGTGATGTTCGATGCTCGCTAGATCGGCTCGAATGCTCTGCTTTGGCTCGCCTTCGCCCCCGCACGCCACAGCAATGTCGGACGAAAGCCTTGACCAAGCGCTGTGCGACCTTTGTGTCGAAAGCTGTATCGCTGTTGTGATCCTCGTCGACCTACAACAGGCTTCTAGAGATGCTGGGGACGACATCGCCGATGCACTCGATCGCGCCTTCGCATCCGGATCCAGCCGCCGCCCCTTCAGGTCGTAGGATCGGCTGGCTTGCGAGTGTGTCACGTGTTGGCAGCATTGAGACAGGCACGGCCACCAGATTCGGCCAGAGAGGAGGGATCCACTGAAGAGCGAGACCGCATTCGGGAAGCGCGGCTGCTGCACTAGCTGCCGAGATTGCTCTTTGGGCACAGGATTTGACCCGCCGCGTCCCAAACGGAGGGTGCCGAGTGCTGCCCACAAGCGGCCGTTGCTCGACTCCAACCCTTTGCGTTTCGCTTAGGCTGTGCTGCTGCGTCCAACCTTAGTTGCTCGGGTTGCTCGAACCCAATCATGACTCAAGTTTACCCGATATCGAATAAGCATTGTTGCTCTCGCTGAGCCTGGCAGATGCACCATCGTCCACACCTGAGCCTGGGTGTTTCGGGCACGTTTCAGAGCCAATTCCAGCGATGAAAGGGGAGGAGCTCCAAACACTGGCGATGAGAGCGAGATTCCAGACCATTCGATGGCTTTTGGTCCGAAGCCGAACTGCGATTCGGCACACACAGCCAGACGGGTAAACAGCCATGACGCGTGTGTTTGGCCGTATTCGGGTGCGTGTCAGCCCACAGGGGTGCAAAGCTGCAATCGGCCCGTGCTGCCGTGTTGCACCCGACCCGAAACCAGGCGTATCGGCGTGGCGCTTTGCATCCTTGGCAACGTACAAAAGCAGACACTGCTTGGTGGCAGCTAGGCTTTTCGAATTGGCGGCAGCCAAAGAGACGCGGGCCGTGTTATGTGGTTTCACCATCTTCCGATTGGGCGCTTAGCTTGTGCTGTGGGCCGTGTTGGAGAGATGGCTTCCGCTCCGACCCTGTCGCGGGACAAAACGTACAGCGCTATGGGGTGCTACAGGCTCCGACAGAGGTGTTCCAGTTCAGAACCAGCGGCTTTGGCAGCCACCGCAGGATACAGCACGCGCCTGTCGTGGGCGCTTAGCTCGCCACTCGCCACTCCAAGCGGACCAATGTGGTTCTAGACTCGGGCGCTCTCGTGTGTCGCGGCTCGTATTCGATTCCGCTCGTGCGGTGCAGTGCTCGTGCGATGCAGTTGCCGAAGAGAGCGTGCGTGCACCGTGGCACGGGGCCGAAGTGGGGTATTCGACGAGCTTGGCGTGCGTGCAGATGCAAGAGTGCACCCATCCACGTGAAAGCCAGATCAACATCCCCACAACGTTACTGCCATTTCGTCGGGAGTCCGTCCGATGCTACGCGTGGAGATGCTCGGCAAGTTCCGCCAGCATGTACAGCAGCTCGACGCTGGCAGCGATTTGAAGCCCCGCCGCTCTTGGTGCTGCGGAGACCCGTCATCGCGGAATGGCAAAGTCGGAGGCGTTTCCGACAATTTTGACCCCACTCGATCGGTTCGGATGTTTGTAGGAGGACGCGGTCACTATGCACTCACCGCCCTGTGGTCGTCAACCCAGAATGTCGCTGGCAGTTGCATCTCGTGGGTCGAAGAGCATTCTGCTGTGCCTCGTGAGGCGCGGAAGTCTCGAGACGTCACCACAGCTTCGAGGACCGAGCTACAATTGGCGTGCTTCCCACGCTCGCAAACGCCGAAAGTTTAGGCGTCTCGCGATGTCTGTGAGGGCACTCCTCCATGACGATTGCAAGTGGCTCCACCCTATGCGAATCCGACCCAGCAAGGCCTTGCGATGCCGAAGCGATGGTGTCAACGATGCTGAGGGAACGCGTCAGTGGCGGGACGGCGAGGATCGCGATGAGCACGCTGGCGTTTCGGCATTTGGTGGAGGTCGCACCATGATCTCCCAAGGCAGCCAGCTGAGCGAAGCTAGGCGGGCGATCCAGCTCCGACGCCCAAATCTAGGTTAGCGAGGTCTAAGCTCCATGGACCAGCACAAATTGATGCCGTCCGCATTACGCGAGACACCATGACCCTCCCCGCAGGAATACGGTTGATTGTGATCATCTCAGCAGCCAGCCATGGCGTTTGGCGCTAAGCAGGCATCTTCCCGGCGATGGCTCCTGCCCTAGCTTCGGTTGCAAGGGAGGCAGTGCTCGGGCAATCCCTCAGCGATCACCCTGGTCGGCTAGCTTCAGTTGGATGCGAGCCCAACATGCGAAGCGAATACAAGGGTCGTCATGCTCGCTTCCGCACGTCCTCCATCCGATCGCCAAGCGAGCGGCACAAAAGTCTGCTCTGCCCGAAAATGACGTGGTCGATTTTCCTCTTCTTTTGGCACCAGGATCCAGCTTCGGCGTGTCACCTTGGTCTCTCGCAGCCAAATCGGCGATGTTCTGATCAGCCGATCTGCCATTCGCCGCGTGCGCGTAGGCAGCGAGCGGGTCGACTGGTGGCCCAGGGTCCCCTTCTCGACCATCTCGCCGCTAGCGTGGCTTGCGACACAAACGTTTCAGAATTCGCGGAGCGAGGAATGTGGCTGGCGAATCCTGGATTTCTGGGCCTCGTACACCGGGCTTGCGGTTTGCTCGCCGGTCCCCGATCCGCATCGCACCGAGAAGATGGTAATCTCGGAAAAGCGGAATTCCCAACTCTGTTGGCTTTGGGCTCCATTTCGCTAGTCGTGCCAACGTGCGGCAGAAGATATCTGACGACTCGGCGCGGAGCTGGATCGGCTCGCTGCAAACCACTGCACCAAAAGAAACAATCCTGCGTCCCTTTTTGGAAGCAAATCGGAGCTTGTTGACTGGTCAATGCTGTCTGCTGCCGTGAGCCAAGCCGCGGCAGCAGTAGATTCCAAAACTACAGAGAACAAACTTTGGTCAAGCGACAACAGCCCGTCTCGGCAAGTGGCGCTCACGACACGATCTGCAAAGTGGATGTGATGCGAAAATGGTCAGGCTGCTGCTGGAACAAAGCTCGTTTGCAGCTTGTCGAGTGGTTGTGCGACTTTTGCGAGGCCATGTCAGAGGTCAGCCCGAGACTAATCGTCGTCGGATCGAAGACTCGGAGCGGAGTGAAAGTTTGTGAGGTCCTTCGTGCGGAATTGCTCGCACGGCGCTCCATCCCGCAAGTCTGACGAGCTGCGCTCAAAGTAAATTGACATGTGCAGCAGCATCGTTTGGCTCGGGACGCCGTGTACATGTGCTCCCAGGGCCTGCGCTTCGAACTCTGTTCTTGCTCCGAGGCTTTGCAACAATGGACGTCGCCTATGCAGCGAGGTTTCAGATGGAAAGACGCTACCACCCCACTCTCAATGGGCAGGGAGTCACCACAGTGGTCGGAGACATCCGGTGGCATGTGCTCGCACATGTTGTACTGCAAGGGCAAGGCACGCAAGACGCCACGCGCTTTGTCTTCTACTACGACGGTGTCTCGACATGGTGTTGATGGAGCCGAGGCACATAGTCCGGGCTGGAAGGCGTTCTACATCGTCCACAAACAGTGGTAAAGCACCGCACGCGTTCGAATCACGTCTCGCTTACATTACTGTATATCTGGGCCGCAGCCCAACACCGCACAGAAAGTCGGCCGACAATCCGGAGTGTCAATTGGCGGCTGCACCCAATCCAAGGCCTTGCTGCATGCTCATGCGCTCCAGTGCCTGACTCAAATGTCGCATCTTCCGACTTTCTCGTTCAGCTCACCCGCACCCAAGCTAGCCATCACAATGGCAAGGCTGCATGTCGCGATGCGAGCCGAGCCTAATGTTGCAAATTCGGCGGTCATGGCCCTCAAGCCACATTGGGCACGCAAACACTGCGCTGGCGCTGTATAGAAAAGCGTCGTAGGGTCCCGCGCATTCGCGCCGGCCAACAGAATCTTGGCACCGAATTCTGGGCCTGCCATCGAAAGGGGGCGGTCAGCTTTCGGGGCGAATGCCGATCATTTCAGGCCATCGTCTCGCCCATGGTGTACGGTGTATGGCGTTGACATGGCTTGGGAAAAGTTTGAACCGAACTTTCTCCGACTTCGTTTGTGACAACCGTTCTCTGTCCGGTTCATGCTGGCTTGCGGAAAGCAAGCGAGTTAACACTTTTGTCGGATGCTTCCGTCGACGATGACGTTGGACGACTTTGTCAAGTTTCGGACCTTCCTTGCGGCTCAGGCAAAGAGCTGCTGGCGGATGCAAGGGGGTAAGGAGCGTTCTGTTGGGAAGCCGATTAGGGCTGTCATGCCCACACCGTTGGTTGCGCGACGAAGCAGCCGAGCCCAGACGTGCAGCCCAAATCTAGCAAAATGCGAGATGCGCTGCGGTGCAGCGCCTAGCAGTGCCTTGCAGTACCGTGCCAGGCTGAACGCCAGGACCCTGGTTGCGCCGCTTCCGTCGGCACGTTGACTCAGGTCTCGACATACAGGCATCGGGATGCTATCTAGTCAACGCAAAGTTGACCGCCCAGCTTTCTTCGCCCCTCTTCAAGACAGGCACTTAACTTTGTTGCCTCGCCTGCGTGCATCCAAGACAAACATCACCTGCTGCCTTTCTGTAGACCCTTTTTCGGATGCATCGCGCCTTCTCATGGTCTGCTCATGCATTCGTCACCTTCCGCCCGTGTCTTGCCACCTGGATCCTACAGCCGCACTCGATCCAGCAGAGGCGGGTCCTCGCGAGTCAGCATGACAGCATGACAGCATGTCAGCATTGTCACTCTAAAATGCTGACAAATCGAATGACTTGGGGACCGGAGCATGACGTTTGGAACATAGGAATTGTAGCTCAGAATGGCTGGGCCATGGATCGCAACTCGCCTCCAAAGTTATGGTCTCTCCCGCCTCAGCGTCCGAGACATGCCCGCCTGTCTCTCCGGGCGGGCTAAACTATAGCTTGTGTCTCGTGTAACCATTCTTTTTGTACAGCTCCTATGCGACAGGCACAGGAGATTCATTTTCAGTGGTCCGCCGCTCGCCTTGTAGCAGTAGCAGCGACGCCGACCGCGACCACGACGGCGACGGCAAGCCTGCGTGCTTTTCGCGTGTAACTTACAGCTCGGATCGTCTCGCTTGCTTAGCGTGGGTGCCTGGATCGTAGCGACCCGGCGCGGGCAGCGGCGAACCGTTGCCGGGGTTGACGCAAGGGCCGTAACACCGCCGTCTTGTCAGCACACTGCGACTCCGTCTTGCAAATCGATGTTGAACCGAGATAAGCGAAGTCCTCTTGCAGGTCGTTATTTCTGGACCTTTCGCCACCGCGCTTCTGGATCAAGATCATATCTTTCAGGCCAACTATACTGCTGTGTTCTATTCGCGGCAACGGGGAGCGCAACGGCGCAGGTAGGAGAGGAACCATCCGAAAACCGGGTTTCATCCGCCTGCCCCGTCCGGACACGGTATTGCAGCAGACGACACGTACACGAGCAAGTCGGCTGATCGCTACTGCAGCACCCTCATTGCTTGCTGCTGCATTGGGCATACGCGGTTGGCTCTCGCGCAGTTCGTAAGCGCTTGCCGGCTCGCGCCGTTGTTGGGGCCACTGAGGGCGATTTGACGCGCCAAAAGCAGAGCATACCAAAGCGGGCGGGTAAAGCCGTACTCCGACTTGACGCCCCGCATAGCCGTCCACACCGGCTGCACCTCCTTGTTGCATGCCGGCATGTCTACACATCGAATCGCCACACCTCGCGGCGGTTCGCCGTGCCGTTGTCGCTTGCTCCCCGCCCGGCCAACCTTGGCTCGAAGCGCTCGCCCATTTTTGCAACGGCAGGCCTTCCTGCTCTGGCAGCGAGCCCCGCCTTATCACATCCCCCGGAATCTGGCTACCGGGACGAGTTTCGTGTTGGAACAGGCACATGTCCGGGACCCTAGGATCGCATCGGCGGGCATTCAGGCTGCGGACGGGGTCTCGGGTTGGCCGACTCGATGGCGCGTGAGGATGCACGGCTTGGCCCCGTTGCTCTCTCCGCTGCTGCCCGGATTGGTCATTAACGGTTAGTGCCGATCGCCGGCAAAGATGGGTGGCGCGGTGCGTGTCCATTGCGCTGGGCGATTTCCAGAAAGTGACGGCACGTCGTTGCGCCAGCCGAGCTGAGCAAAAGCAAACGCCGTGCCCGGCTAGCGAGCCAAGCAGCTGCATGCAGACGCTTCCTCACGTTTTAATACTTTGAAGTCGCTGAATTGATGGATATATACAGTGTGCTCTTGGCCTCAACACCGCTGTGGGCGTTGAGACCCGAGCCAGCAGGGGCAACTGCGATCCTCGCGAATCACGTTTGTGAACAATGGATGGCATTACCAGCGAGCATGAACGGTCTAGCCCTCGCAGTCCAGTGTGGCTGTCCATGTCACTGGCCTTGGTCAAGCGACGCGCAGACCGACAGTGGGGCCCAAGATCTCGCGACGGAGCGGACCAATTTACTCAAATTGATTTTACGCAGAAGCGGGGGTCGTCCGCCACCGATCCGAGCGAAGAATCTGAAAATATATATATATATATATATA